AAAAAAAAAAAAAAAAAAAAAGAAAAAAGAAAAAAAGAAAAAAAAACAGGAAGCGTGTAACCGCGAAAAATCGTATAAGCGAAAAATTGCGAAAAAAAAAATTGTTATACGATGTTGCATTGTATCGTTTCGAGCATCGTTATGCTCAATTCATGGTAGATTTGCCGGTCGATAGGATTTCTCGTGCATTACCGCATTAGTGCACTTCATCGCGATAAGTAACAAGCTGTAAACTGCTTTCCCCGATGTGATGCAGGACTGCGCGATTTTGTTGCCTCGGTACAAACGATAATAGCGCCCCGTATACACCGGTTACTTAACGTTCATTATAATTAACACGCTCGATGCCTTAACTTTCCCAGGAGGAAAGCGAGAATAATGCAGGTTTGTAATCGCCGACGCGTATTCGCATTTCGTTTTATCATTTCCTCGACTGGCTAATGACCAAGGAATTTACCAAATTTAATATACCTTGTTCACTATTAAAGATATCCAGCTCCTTTAATCTTTTACCGCATACCGTGGATCCATAGTTTTTTTTTTTTAAAATGATTAAAACAATTGCATCATGCAAGTCGAATACGTACGAATAATGGATTTGCAAATAAAAAATCTCTGAATGTTTCATTAGCAAGCGCTTTGTAGCGTAAAAATCTGTAAATTGAAGAAAAAGAAAAGAAATAAAGATTCGAGAAATACTGTTATAACCAATTAAAAAATATTTGGACGGAAAGTGACTCACGTAGGAGGAGTTTAATGAACGGTCGGTAAGAGCGGAAGAGTGTGGTGAAAGCAATGCAATCCCATTTCATGAATTCCGGGTGTCTTTGAAGAGCGACGATCCACACCGCGATACCATAGCGCGCTCCGTGTTCCACAACAATTAACCGATGGCAATTAAGACATCTAAATTAATTCGTTATAAACAAGCCAGATATTCCGTAGCGAGCGGAGCAACGTAATTGCCCGGATTCTCACAAGCCTCGTGGTAAAGAGAGAGAATCCCCGGTGCACACTTACACCTGCACAGCGTTATACATAATGTATATGCACGTATACCGTGCAATTTACCAACACCAAGAAACGGTCGCCCGGTAATAGCAACAATTACTTTATTTTACCATCTTCCCGGTTCTCAAACGAGCGCGCGCGCGGGTGCGCTCACGAGAGTTCATCTAGGCAATTTCATTTCCTCGCATTTTTAAATATCCGCCTTCAGAAGAAGTCGTGGAGCTGACTTTCTTTTCTCGCCGAACAACCGGCCGACTGTTTAAGCGCGGATTAAAAAGGCTTCTGCACATTTAGCTCTCGTTGTTGAGCTATGGAGCGCTCTGGAAAACAATGCGCTGATTAGACGCGATCTTTGGTATTTATGCCTGTCTATGTGTAGCCTCTCCACGTAACGATGGCCTTAATTTCACGATCAAGATCTGAGAAAATTATAAGTTACCGTTTCCTGGAACAACTTCTCGTCCCGTGTAATATACCAAATTGAAATTATAATTCATACGTGTATGAACGCTTATTTACGCTTTGCGATTGCCATTCTCCTCGTACGCTTGGTGTCCCTTTTGCGCCCGATAGCGATCTGTAATTATACGGATCAATTAAGGGAAGAAAATAAAACTATCTCGAAAACAGCAAATATAGTGTGGATAACAAAATTGTGAGCGAATATTCGAATCATGATAGTATTTTCATCGTCACGAATACACGGTTCGAGTAGTTTTATATAATAATTTCATTATTGCACGAATCCCAACAATTTCCTGATGCCGTGTTGTTACCATTATAATTGTCGTTTATCACGTCCGTTTCCTCATTTTCAATTATTCTAGTTAAGTGATGCGAATAATAATAATAATAACGATATCCAAACGCTTTGAAAAAGTTTTGATAAAATGAAGTTTATGCGTATCAGCGTGACGATGATTCGTTTCATCGTTTATACATATATATATATATATTTTTTTTTTCAAACCTTTCACACGGCTCGAGCGGCAACGAAATCGTTAGAAACTCTACTGTCGCAAACGTAGATACGTTTTGCGAAATTTTATGTAACATATTTCGTCGTACTTCTGCCAGTTTCCTCATGCTGCACGTTAATTGTCATTTTTCACGTCCGTTTCCTCGTTTTAAACCATCCTACATATATTCGCTGAGCGACATTTTAGCGTTAACGAGTAGTAGTTTAACGACACTCCTGGGACTTAATTGGCTACCGGTGGATTCATCATGCCGTTCAACTACGCCTTTTTCTTTTGTTCCACGGATGCATCAATGTTGCGCTTTAACTTTGCAATCCCTTCTCAGCAGTGATTAATGTCTTGCGAACGAGACACACTGATGAACAATGACAAATCACTCTCGAAACTGAATTGGCCTGTAATTTAAAAATTCGAATTGAAGTAACAAAAATATTTTCATTTCTTATCGGAAAAAGAGAAAAAGAGGAAACTACGAAATTATAAAAAAAAAGACGAATCTTAAGGATTAATTAAGAAATTGAATTTGTAAAACAATTTAGATAACATTAAATTAGAAGTAGCGATTCAGAACTAGTGTCAAGATATTTAGCATCTTTATATAAGAATGATATGATTTCTTTAGAATTATTATTATTCGTATAAACTAATTGTAAAATATCAAAAGGATTTTTCACTTATTCCTTGTTTCTTGGCACCAAACGATTAACAATGTGACGTATAATGGATGATGGTCGACAAAATCGTAAAAGGATTAACACAATATCGTATTCGCGAAAGAATTCGAATGGCATATAATTGGAAGGAGCAGCGATCAACAGTGTGACGTTTAGCGAATCGATGATGGTGCTGGTGGACGGCTCGTGGTAAAAACGGCAGTTTGAAAAAAGAAGGAAAAAGGAAGCGATGAGTGGAAGAGGAGGAGGATGGGGAAGGATACTCGAAAATTATTCCGATATGAAACTCATCGCGCGGCGTATCGCGTCAAAGGAGCCAATTTAAAACAGCCCTTTCCAAGATTATCAGCGCGTCGTTGCGGTGGGATTAATATATAAAAAAGGCGAGTACAACGAAGGTGAGGAAGGGTGGGTTCGAGAAGAGATACAGAGAGAGAGACAGAGAAGGAGAGAGTGGGAGGAAGGGCAGAAGCGTGCGGGATTGGTAAACTTCCCGGTAATTTGTTCGTCAGTCGCTTTGAACCTCTTTTAAACAACTACTGTGTTCTCTTCCACCTTTTTTCGCTATCTTCCCCCACTCTCCTCCATCGTTGCTCGTTTGAAAGAGGGAAATTATTGCGGAAAGGTGGAAGAAAGGCGGAGAAAGGGGAAAAACTTCGTGATTAAAGGTGCTTCGGCTTGTTAAATTATTCGGTAAGAAAGTGGCTGCATTAAAGATTCTATCGTGGGAAGTTCCCGAAGATATTTCCCTTGCAATTATCGATGAATCTAATGAATTTGTTCTTCCTCCTCTCGCTCATCCTTTTACAAATTTCGAACGTGTCGAGGATTTTATTGTCACTCGTATGACATACTGTTGTTCATCTAATTAAAGAGAATGAGTAAGTTTTAAAAATTGACGAATAATGGTGCGGAATTGCTGCTCTTATAAATATTTTTTTTAATTGTTTCATACATTTTTTAATTGTTTTATACATACGTATATATCTGGATCTTGATATTAACACGCGAACTTCCTCCAAGTAACGAATATCTTAGATTGCCGCAATAAAGTGTTAATTCGGAGTATCAAAATCGTAAAAACAACTTGGCAGACACGATGATCAGATTAGTAAATAGATATTCGCCAGTGTTTTTGGAACAGAATTTGCCTTTTCGTAGTCGTAATACATTTAAGTGCAATTTATAGCACATCGACGAATCTCTTTGCATTCTAATTAAAACATAAATTAAAGTTAAAAATTATAAAGATTTATTAATTTGTTAAATTCATTAAAAAAGTACTTACTTCTTTTTTTTTTATTTAAACATACTTCTTTAATTTTTTTTATATCTTTAATTGATATGATATTATGTTAGAAATAATTGTCGAGATATTATAAATCATCGTTACGAAAAATAAGATTGTTAACTTACCGTATAATCTGAGTTATATATCTCGCAGCAAGTGAAATAGCGTTGAATTTTCCGCTTCCTACATTTGTCGTTTTTTTTTTTTTCCTCTCCTCAGTTCTTACGTGACTTGTCTCTGCTTCTTTTCAAACTAGACACGCGAACATATATATATATAATCAATTGAACGTTGCAACTTTATCATAATTGTAATGAGACAAAATGATAGAAATACTTCCAAGTTTCCTTTCTCATTATTTTAATTTATCTCTCATTTTTAATAATGTAATAAAACCGATACGACCAAAATTCAAAAGTTATTCGATCCACTTGCGAATATTATATTGTAAGAACGATATCTCATCGATATAACTTCCGTCTCGAAGTTAATTCAACGTATACTCGCGGTTGTATCTCGGACATAGAAGCAATAAAAAGCTGAAACAATCATTTGGACACACCTGTAACTGTATGGCCATTATGCGATGCAGTCGTGTCGATTTCGAAATTCGATCGCCTCGGATCACCTAAGGTTTCTCGACCGTTACTCGTTGTCACCGGCTCTGCCAGATTGCATTTGGATTTGCATATGATCGAGTCATGGGACTGCCGTGTTACGATCGCACTAACACGCATTCCAACTTCCGTGTCGCATCATATGGAACAATTCAACGCGTTAATTACGGAAACACAAACGAGATATACGAGAGAATCTCAGGTAGGAACGTGTCACGCCGCGAAAACACTTGATTAATTAATCGACTTGGATACGAACAGTATATGGAATTGGATTTTGACAAAAAAGAAAAAAAATAGTTGGATTCTTTTATCTAACGAATTAAAATTGTTGGAACTTATCACAAGATATCGTTTGATATTTATCCTAATTGGATATCGTAAAACATTTTAATTAAAAGCAGAAAGAAATGTCCATAATGACTTAGTTCAGATATCCGTCGAAAAAAATTACGTATGGAATTGTTCGTTACATATATTATACTGATTAGACTTTCTTTTACACGCTACTTCCGCTTTCACTACGCCGGAAATGTTTCCGTAATTAATTCATAGGAAAGATTCGTATTTAGATTAAATGAACGATAAAGTAAAAGAGATTTCTTTCTTGATTTCAATGTTCACATCACTTTGCACGTTATTCTTTCACATTCACAAGTGGAATCGTAATTGATAATATTGAATTTACAAATTAACTCGTAGTTCTCATAATTAATCAATTGTATCTTATCTTAAATTCAAAATGAAAAATGAAATTTAAAAAATATAATTAATTTTACGTAAATTGAAATTTGTTTGAAAGATGATATAGAATAGATCGAAACATCGAAAGTAATGACTAATATCTTAAAAATAAAAGTTGTATGATTTTTGCTTATATAAATACTAACTTTAAAACTGTGCTTTAAAACTAAAGCACAGAATTAATTTCGATTTAATAAAAAATAATGACACATCTTCTTTGATAAAACACATTTTTGTTTCGTCAAAATTACGATATGTATAGAAAATATCACCAATAAAAAATCTAACCTATAGATTTTAGTAATAATTCAGAAACATATATAAACACAATAAACGAAGAATAGTAAAAAAGATAAAAAGAAGTATAGTGAAAAGGCATCTTAGGAGAATATTCTTTACCTTTTAAATAACAGTATTCAGATTCCGTTAAATTTCTAGTTTCATAGTCGAATTTTTCTTTAATCGACGTTCAAATAGTCGATCGTTTTGATAATCGAGATTTTATCGTCGATGTTATTACTATCAAAAAATTCGGATAATCGAACATTAAGTCAAATTTCTACTTTTATAATCGAATTTTTCTTTAATCGACATTCCAATAATTGATCGTTCTGATAATCGAGATTTTATCGCCGATATCACTACGTATTAAAAAATTCAATTGATTCGTGAAAATATGGACACGAAATTTGCGAAACTTCGTAGATATACATACGTAAGTAATTGTAAGAAGAACGGTTCGTGTATTACTCGGTAGGGTGTGTATACGGCGTACACAGAACGATGTTAGACGTTTGATTAATAGCGTCAGCGCTGATTGGTCACGCTACTAATAAAGGAGCGTTCACACGTATTAAAAGTTCGCGCCTCTGCGTCCACGCCGGTGTGCTCAGCGTCTTCGGTCATTGTAGTCTAGTGTTGGCACGATATAACGAGGGAATGGCGTGTCTTGCTCATAATTGAACCGAGCACCTACAATCCAATCGTTCTTAATCATTCGAATTCATCTCGCTTGCAAGTTCCATTCTCCTTTATTATTCGTTGTCTTACCAACCTGTGAAACTTATCCGAAATCCATATTTCTTTTTTGCCAATAACAATTATGGCGATGGACAATATGGACAGTTTTGATTATTCTTGATTATTCAGATAGATTAATCCAACATGATTGTTCAATAAGGTATGTTACGTTAAAAACATTTCGATGGATGTTAAATATTTCAATCTGAATCTATGATAAAAGAAGTATATAATAATTCCACTTTCTCTTCACTATTCATTTTTTCTATGCAACTTTTAACGTTTACTATCGTCGAGTGCTTTGCCAAAGTTTTTATATTACAATAGATTTTGTTCTCTTTAGAAAATTTTACTCGTTTCTGAAAAATTTGAAAGATTTTTCAAAAATCCATTCAATTGGCGGGAAAAATTCATGTTATAGATTTGAATGCATTAGTCGAGACAAGTAACTGCACTCGTAAATTAATTTAGCTCTTTCCTTCAGAGCAAAAGAGCGAAGAGATTCGCGAAGAGCGAAAATGGCGGAGATTACGCGAAATTATGCAAATGCACGGCATTGTAAAGGGATCTGTTTTTCGTTTTATTGGACTGGGCCTGCGGTGTCCTCGGTCGTATAACCGAAACAAAAGCTTACCTAACGCGAGAACAAAGGGTATAGAGGCGAGTAGAAATCTCTTGAGGGCACACATGCAACGAATTTAACTGCTTCCCTAGGCATTACTCTTGCTGGGTTTCTTTTATTCCCGCTTATTCTCTAACTACCCCCGTCTATCGGTCTTCGTATCCTTTTCGTGGTTTACTATTTGCAAAAGCAAAGATTTTTCAGTTTAAATATAAAGTATTATACGGTCAGTCACAAAAATTTTCATACATTATCTTATAAGGAAATATTCATCCATCTTGAAAAATTTGATTTTAATGAAAATTTGCGTGCATAAATTTTTCAATAAGAAAATCTTTTGAACGTGTAAAATCAAGTTTCAAATTTTTATTTTATTTTTTATGTTTTATACAATTATATATAATTTCGTCTCGAAATATTTTTTACAATTAAATAATAGAATCTTGAGTATCTTATTATTTAAAATTGTGCTCTTTTTTTCTATTTCTTTTTTCTATTTATTTTTTCTATTTATCAAAATTATATTTAAAAAACGAAAATAATATTGATAATTGAAGTGATTAGATGATTCATCCTCCCGAAATGATATTTCACTAATAAAAAAATTATTTATATAATCCATTTATATATATATAATCCATTATATATAATCCAATTATATATAATCCATTATAGGTTACGTATTTATAATATTTTATATAAAATAGAATTATTATTAATTATTATTATTATTTGATAATATAATTTATTAGTTATGTTTTTTATAAAACATTATTTTTTTTTTTTATATTAAAATATACATTTATTAGAACCAGATTTTTTTCTGACACAATATAAATCGATTACAGGGTCGAAGGACGGTTGCTTTGAAAGGATATTCATTATGTTCTTGAAAGTGCGGAGTCTTCGTAACAGCTTTTAAAAGGTGACAAAATCCCCTTAGAGCACGGTTCGCAAGGGTAGGCTAAATTACAATTAATTAATTGACTTCGACTCCCTGTAATTCATGCGGTAAGTCAAACTTAATTAATTACCCTTTAGGATCAAAAAGAAGAGGGTTAGAGGAAAAAGAACTTTCCATCTTCTGATTTTAAAAGGTATTTGTAATGTTTTTGTTCATAAACTGTTTGGTTCTTAAAAATATGCATCAATAATTAGCTTCGTATATCAATCAGAGCTAAGTGAAATTTATTTTAAGTACTAATTTAAAAATAATTACGTAAAATAATTTCAAATAAATTATACATATATATAAAACTTATTTCAATTGATGATTATGTTTTTCATTTGTCAATTAAAGGAATTTGAGGCGAGGTGAATAATTGGGGAAATAATTTGAAGAATTGATTATTTGAGGAACATTCAGAATAAGTATTGAACAATGAATAAGGTAATAATTGCAAATATGTTAACTTATTTTTCGTACATATTTTAAAAATATATTTATCGTTTATCAAATAAATTCAAATATTAAAGTAATATAATTCTTTAATAAAAAAAATTAGATTAAGAATATATTTAAACAAAGAATACATATAATTATTTACGATTCATTTTCTTCAATTTTATAGGTATATTCTAAAATTTCCAAATTATTTATTTATCGAAAAATAAAAAGCTTCTTAAAAAAAGAAACAACAAGATAATAGAAATGAAAATACTATCGATGAAAGCAACAGTTTTACTTCGTATTCGACATCAATAAAGTAGGTTGAAATGTCAGTGGTTGAAAAGGCTATTAATTACAGACACCCTCTTCTATTGTAACGACGTCGATAACTTTTCTATTATCCTTTTAAAAGAAGATTTAAGGCCAAATAGTCCTAACAGCAGCACGCTTGCAGGTCGTATAATCCTTACTATCATTATCGAAATTTTTTTTCTTTTTTAACACGACTTTTACATCTGCTCCGAAACGAATAAAAATCTCGTTATCCGGAAAAGACTATCCTCAGCTGTTAGGCTACACCCACAGATGTTTCTATTTGCAACACTTATGAAAGTATAAGACAGAAATTTGACAGAGTATGATTTTATTTTTGGGAGTCATAAAATTTCAAAGGCAAGGACCACCACGTACACACATGCTACGATCCTTTGTTGTTAATGGAAGCCTTGATGATCGCGGACAATCGCCGAAGGTGTCTGTCTGCCTGACAAGCCGACACTCTCTACATTGTAATTAATCAATATTACATCGACAATACTTGTATGTGTGTTCCAGGCAAAAGCTATTGTCGTAATTTGCTGCTCTTCTCTTTTTTGTTTACGCCGCAATCGGCCACAACCGCGATTTTAATTGTACCGCTTTAAAGCAACATTTTAAAAGTTGGTTGCTCAAACGAGATGTACTTAATGAATCTTCGCGATGCTAATTGCACCGACTTGCAAATTGCTCCGACGATTTCCGACTCGTGCATGTATGAATTATAAAAATTCCATGAATCATGCAGTAAATCATTAAAATATTTTATATAAATCAACGAGCAATAGAAAAAATAGTTGTATAAGTAAACGTTTTTCTCATGTTTTAAAATAATATAATGCAAAAAAATCTGTTGATTTTTCTTAATTGTTAGCTATTTAATTTTTCTATTTCTATTTAAATAGATTATTAAATAGATATTATGATTATTAATTTAAAAAAATACTACATATAGACAAAAT